TCGAGGTTGGTCCAACTCCTGCGTGACGCAGCCGAGAGGGTCCCGCACTGCCATGCGCGGTGCCGGACCGATGCGCTCGACACCGTAATACTATAAATGACAATAAAAAAGGCCTGAAAGGCCGTCCTGTCCAGATTTGACAGGTAATTGAATTTGTTGGGCTTAAAGAATTAGCCTTTGAAAAATAAACGAAAAAAAAAAGGCTGGATTGCAGACACATGAGAGTTACCTTCAGCAATCGGCCTAGTGGTAGAGGCCCCCTAAACCTATGGACTCCCTCCCAACCTACCTCTTTCGTAATTGCTCCCGGCGCACTCCTTAACTTGGCCTTACTTCTCAGTTGAAGATAGCACAGGAGGGAGATCCCACTAGCCATGTATGTGGATTAGTGTGACGGGTGTGGGACGGGTGGGGGACAGGTAGGTGGCAGCGTGAAATAGGGAAAATAAAGAAAGTGGCAGCGTGAAATTGGGAAAATAAAGAAAGTGCTCTTCTCACAGATGGTGTCTACTCCAGGCAGGGTGTCAGATGTCAGGGTATGATTCACTGACCATGGTTGTGGCAGTCAAGACGACTGCATGCGAGTGGGCACACGGACCATATTCATTGACAATAGTCTGAGGTTTCCTTGAAATAGGCCGCAGTGCACGCTGTTCGGAGGAGTAACTCCATACACCATTTGCTGTAGGTGAGGGGATCAAACCCTCCCAAACACCTCCCAAACCACAATCAATTTCCAGCGAGTTGAAGCCATTTGCCTTTGCTTTCGCCGTGAGTGAAACGTGTGTGATTTCACGAACCAAAAAAATTGGCTGCGATTTCACGCACGTTTGGGACAGCCACAGGACCCCAACAACAAAAACGGAAGGAAAACCTACCAATGGGAGAGCAAAATAAAACATCCTTTTCCCAGGCTTAGGGCCTCACCGCACGACACAACTAAGGAAACGAAACGATCACCAGAGTCGCGAGGCCTCACGAAGCCCTGATCCACCGTTTCGCTTCGTTTTTTGCCTCACCACCCCACAGCACACACGAAAACTCTAGCGACAACGCCCTGGCAACAGTAGTGGGGGATTCGTTTCGCTACAGTCCAAATTTGTGGACGCTACGGTCCAAGTTCTTGGATGGACGTCGTTTGGAGCGATGCAACACACTCGTGAAATTTCGCAGCTCCTTTAGCCTACCAGCGGAGGACCTACGAGTTCGCGAGGGCTGCAGGCAGGGAGGAGTCGGCACACTCATGAGGCCTCGCGAACTCGGAGGCTGACAACATTTACGAGTTTTTTCTGACACAGTTCGTGTGGGTGCTATGCGGCGACGACTTCACGAAACGAAGTCGTTTTTTTTTTTCGTTTCTTGCACCGTGCGGCGAGGCCCTTAATCCGCAAAAACAGGCTACCCCTGATTTCCTGCCAAATCCACGATGGTGTCGATGAATATCTCAAGAATAGAACATGAGAAAGTCAAGTCCACACACGTACGACGAGATGAAAGTCAGAGTAGGTGACGAGACAAGACAAAGTGTGATGATGCAAAACCTCGAAAGTTACGGCAACAAAACGTTCCACACGCCCAAGACCTCCAAACATTCCACGAACCCGMCGACCACCGCCGTAAACAGCAGTGAGCGTCCCGTAAGAGGCCGAGTATTCTCTCAGTCACACTATATATAGTCCTAATAGTGCACGGTGCCCGAAGTCAACAAAAAGTGCAACCCGTTACCAGGCCTAGTAAAGGCCCGATCCGGGTATCTGTCAGCAAAATTGAACTGATACATCCAAACAAAAAACTAAAGGTAAGATAGCCCTAGCACCCTTCAAATACTAAGCTCACTACCCACTATTGCTGAACCAACACAACAAATGGTCCAGATCGGCAACACAAGCTACACCTGGGCAAACAACCAGAGAAGGAATGAAAAAGAAAATGAGCAGTACTGCCGACTATCGGTAACAGCCCTGTCGGAGTATTAAAAAATGAATAACAGAAATTGTGAAGTCCCACTCTTGCGTCCAAGCGCTGTTCACCAGCCACGAATAATCCCTGTCAGAATAACAGAAGTTGTAATATCCACTCTTGTGTCCTAATTCTGTTCACCAGCCCGTTAACAATTCCACTGTCCGATTCCACACCTCACCTCTCCGAAAAGCAAATCTCTGTAATGTTCTCTCGAAGAAATCACCCGGAACATCCTTCAATTTCAACTCTCGTCTCAACGACAATACCCGCCCAGGGATCTCACTACGGATAGAAGTGTTCTGATCTATCCGGTGAAGGTAGCTGCCGATTGCGGCACTTTTTTGCTGCTTACTCCCCCAGGAGTAGAGTGACTTCCCAGTTTGGAATTCCAAATCATCACTTGACCACAGACTAGTCTCGTTTCGGGAAAGCTGAACACTCCCAAGGTATGGGTAAGTGTTTGAGCACCTAACCTCGTACCCCAGGAAATCCAGAACACCATTCCCTTCGTCAGTTTGTTTCAGAGACAAATTACGGGGGTAACACTCCGAGAACTGCTGGAGCACCCACTCCAATCTCTCCCCAGTGAGAGATGCAACTACCAACAGGACATCATCAACAAGTCTCACACTGAACACGCAACGGGCGTACCGTCCCAAACTTGCAGAAACATGCACTCCGCATACGCGCACAAAATGCACGCCAGGGGAGGGTTTGTGCTCTTCCCCATGGGTATGCCAACATCCTGTTGGAGCAGAACAGTCGTAGTGTATGTGTAAGTATTGTGCAAGTCAATGGCCACGAACTAACGTAAATCCTCAAAGGCAATCTCCCGCCAGTGGTCAGCTCGAGTGGTTATGCCAAAGGAGGCACCCTTATCTCTCGTGTTCACTCGCACAAAGCAACGACCCTTCTTCGAATGGTAGTCAAGTAACCACCCTACAACAGTCAAGATATCCCCGTGAGGCAGTCTACTAAACATGTCCTTAATATCGTAACAGTGCGCAGTGAGATTAGTCAAGCGTCCCAATCTCTTAATCTTGACACACGTCAGATCCAATCGGGTTGTCAATTGAGAGACTGCCGGTAGATTGAAGTGGCAACTAGCAGGCATACTAGATAAGAGGAAATTAAGTCCCTTGGCAATCACCCTACTAGTGCATACCATAGGTTCGCTGTAGGTAGGGCAGATGGGACGGTACCTGGTCACATCCTTATGCTTGAGGATAGCATAAGCAGCGCCCAAAGATCCGGATTTATCCCAACAGGAAAACTTTCGCAAACCAGCCGCATACATGTCCTCCTGAATTTCTCGAAGGACAACCGGTTCTGAAGCAGAAACAACCGTGTAACCCAATCATCTGACAAACGTATTCATCATTGCTTCATAATAAATCTTAGGGCACATCACGACTGTTTCCCCCGGGTTACGATCAAGAGGGGTGAGTACCAGACCATCAAACCGTTGTTTGAGCTGCATGATATCATGAACATACAAAGGAGTACCACATACATCATCCGAAGCCGAAATACAAGACAACAATGCATCCAAAGATACACGCGGTAAGCTACCCCGGAAATTTCTCCAGTTCATGAATCCCTATTCGACTTCCGAACGCAAAGACACCAATCGATCAGACTTTTGTGCCCCTGGAATATTATTCGCATTGATCAACAACTGGTGATCGACCAGATCCTTCTTCAGACGAAAATGCACATGCCCATCCATACGTGGATAGGGTAAACCTGAACAACAACAGGTCAGCACTTTACGGGTAGAAAACTCCCGATGATTGTGCACCAATTCGCCAACCGTCTGGTTTTTCTGCCAGACGATCCGAATCTTCTTTCGTGCCCTTTGTTACCTTACGTAGCTCACATACGTTAATTCTATCATCAAATTTAACTTTGATTAACAAGTCAACATTCAGACTAAGATCAAATTTATCCAAGAATACACGAGAGACCAACCTCCGGAGGTACTTCCTCGTGGACTTCTTCGAAAAGTCCTTGATGGCCCTATATAATCTCAACATCGAATGCATATCCCATTTGTGTATTCTATCAATGGCCCGTTGATTCTTAAGGATGGAGATCAGGAAGCGTTTCAAGTACCCACACTTGGGTTTCCACGAAACCATGTACTCGATCACTACCTGACCCCCATCCTCAAACCACCTCTTGCAGTTTTTAAATAAGCCAGATTCAGACCCTAGTGAGACTTTTGTCGCCCCGAATTTTCTAGAGATACTCTTCCAAGATGACTGCCACGTGTTCCCACCACTGGTGCAGATTCCGAACTTACGAATTCCAGAGGCCTTGTGTCGATTTAAAATATTGAAAAGATCCAAGCGCCACTCATTAGAATCCGTTGACCGGAAGCGGATGGGTGCTATGACGCGATCATCGCGATCATCAACTGGTTTGCCCAAACGGGCACGTTCGTTTTTACCCAACGATCTACCTCTAGCTGAGGGACAACCACTTCTTCGAACCCCTGACGTGTTAAGAAACGACGACCATTGCCGAATATAGATCCCCTCGAGTTTAGTCAACTCGTTGTTCACAATTGTGTCAACAGGTATGAGGACATAGTTATCTACACCACAACAGCCAAGCCAACGGTATAAATGATTAGGGGAACGTTTCTTAGCTGCATAGATATGTTCACGCCAGCGAACATCCAAGTGTCTCGTAGACTTACCTACATATTGAGATTTACAGTACGGAGAAACAGCCACGTAGACACTAGATTTGATGTTAACGAAATCCGGTCCAAATGTATCCAAGAGCCTCACCCAGGCTTCCACACATTTACGCGTCCAACGGATGACACCATACAGTGAGAGGTTGACAACAGCAAGTCTGAGCAGTTCTTCAATCCGAGCATCGATACCGTTAATCAAAGTATGTAAACGAGTAAGGCACCGTACAATACTCCACAAGTCAGCAATACTGAGGGCACATCACTCCTTGACATTACCCTCCACCTCAGCCACCATGTCAGTACCCGTTCCGGGCACGACTACCGCCTCCTCTTCATCATCACTGCCATACGCAACATGGGTGCGCTGAGCGGCGATATCAAAAATGGCTTCGAACTTACCGTTGTACGGTATCCCTTCGTCCTTACAGATGTTCTGTAGGACCAATGCATCCAAGTTCTTTAGGTCCTTCATCACTCGCTTCTCGAATCTCAGACGTCCGACTAAGCCGATCGCAGCCGGAGTTTTCTTCCGGATAGATGGCGGCGTCTTTTTCGGTGTGGGCGTCTTCTGTGTCCATGATTTAGCTCTCGTCAGTCTGCCAGCAAATCCCCCAGGTCGCGCTGCACGTCTCGGAGTGCGCTTGGCAGGGAGCTCCATCGGGGGACTGCCTTCGCATGCCACATCAGGTCCCCGTTTCCTTTTTTCCGAGATGCACAGGTTACGAGTACGCATGCTCAGCTCCTCTGTCTCGCTACTACTGCGGCCGGCTCGGCAGGTTCTACCACTTTCTGCTTCCCGCGCGACACCGCCGAGCACAGCTCCCCGATAGCGTCGCAAATCTCCTGATGGACATTCTCCCGTACATCCTCACGAAGTTCACTCACCCGAACCGCCATTCTCACATCTAAGCTCTTGTGTAACTCTTCCTTGCTTTCAGCTTCCTTACAAATCTTTTCTTCCTTTTTCTATTTCCTAAGTAGAGCAGCAGCGCGTTCCGCCTCAGCGCGTTCCTCAGCCTCTTTCTTCTCCGCTTTCCTACGTTCTTTTGCTGCCTTCTTCTGTTGTTCAACTTCCACGAATTGGCACACCGCTGCCACGCTCTTCCCAATCTCCACGACCTTGGATTCCAGCGGATCAGTCTGTTGAGGTCTCCTACTGAAACTTGGTCTCCCTGGTGGGCTGAGGCCGCCCCGGTGTGCTGATGACGCTGGAACGCTGTTCCGCTTCGGAAGAAGACACTGATTTGCGTAATAGCCGGGCTCATCACAGTTAAAGCAGATCAGGGCACCGCGCCGAGGACCCCGATCATATCCTCTCTCACTCCCAGTCATTTGGTCGCCGCCAAATCCCCTGTCACTACCCTCACCGCGATCACTCCCATATCCGCGGTGTCCACTCCCGTACTCATGAAAACCGCCATAGTCTCTTCCACCGCCACTATGATCACGATTTCTGCCTCCATTGTCGCGGTTGTC